GGCAAGCTCCTTGGCAGGACAAAGAAAAGCACATCTGCACAATGCCCAGAAAGAAAAAATGAGAAATTTGTAAAACACATCCTCCTCCGTCTGGATTGCTCCTGAAGGCATATAAGGAAAACCAACCTGGAACAAGGTGCCCGCTCTTATTTTAAAAAAAAAGCCTGATCTTTTGGTTCTTACATAAAAGTTCAATTTTGAATAATGTGATTTTTTTCATGTGAAACTAAATGATAAGGGAAAATTTGCATCATTAAAACCTCCACTTGAGAATAAGCTCATCATGAATTAGGCTTTCAAGTCACAGCCATTGCCACCAAAGCATTTTCGAAATATTCATTTAGTGTGTTTACTACTGATGCCACAAGCCACTGAGAAAGATGAGCACCATGGCTTTCAATTATATGGCATTCACTTTTTACCATGGCATGTGGGAAATTTTTATTTCACTCCTTTCATTCTTTGTCCCATTAATTGTTCAGTTTTAAAAAATTCATTAGCTCAACATACCTACTATGTGCCAGCCATACACATACTACTGTGTGCCAGGATACAGCAGTAATAATAATAATAATAATAATAATAATAATAATACAAGAACAGTAACTAAACCTAAATCTCAAATTCAAATAGTCCTTGCTTACTATATGCTGAGCAGTGTTCTCAGTATATACTTTACCTTGTTTAATTCTTTCTCTTATTGTTATTCTATTACAGTTGTCCCAATTTTTCCCCCTTTACCCTCTCCACCCATCCCCATCCTCATTCCCACAGTCAATTCCCACACTGTTGTCCACATCCGTGGGTCATTTGTATATGTTCTTTGACTACTCCCTTCCTCTTCCTTCCACCATTATCTCCCTCCACCCTTCCCTCTGGTCACTGTCAGTCTGTTCCATGTTTCCATGCCTGTCTTGTACCAATCTCCTGAGGTAAGGACAACAATTAGAAACTGAAGTAGAAGATATTAATTTTTCAGGTCACTGAGTCTGTAAATGTCAGAATCAACATCTTAACATCTTTTTACTCCATTGTCCATTATCTTGACTCTATGCTATATGAAGAAAATCAAACATGGCTTTATGGAACTTTCAGTGTACTGGAGAAGACATACATTAAACAAGCAAACAAACACACAAGCATATCTTATGTCAAACACTGATAGGATATATTAAAATATGCAAAGTGCTATGAAATAGAATTATTTAACATTATAAAGACTAGTTTTGCAAGCTAAAAAATGGAATGATTATTATCTCTGGTAATTATCTCACCTAAATGACAGTTATAAAATTTAAGACAACAAACTGGCTAAAACGAGCTGAGAAAACTAAGGCGGGGAGGCCAGGGAACATGACTAGCAATTCAGCCTTTAACCCCTGCCATAGAGCCTTGCCATTTTTGGTGGCACTTCTTGTTGGTACACTCAGAATGACAAAATATAAGGGATCTGGCAAATGTAACCCCTTCTCCTAACCTTACCCCTTCTGAATAAGGAAATTCAACCTGGTTCAGGTGCCCCTTCTTCACACATGAAAGTGAGTAATCCTTAGCCTTCAACCAAGAAGTACATGGTGAATGGCTTAAAAGACAAACAAACAAACAAAACCCCCTTAATTTCTGCTTTAATGCTTTAGTTTAGTTTTAAAAAAAGATTTCTTTGGCTTATAATGGCTAACACTTGGGCTTCTAGAAATGGCTTATAGTCAGTAAAACAAACAAAACATCCTTATGTGACTTGGAAACAGACTAAAAACACTGTTTAAAGACCAAACTAGGGAAACAGAAAACCAAGTTCCCAGAGTGACAAAATTTCTTCTCATCCTGAGATTTTTTTTTAAAAAATCTGGGCTTTATTACCCTATTTTTCTCTTAGTGTTAGGGAAATCATACAGAAAGAAGAAAAGTCTCTCTTTTCTTCTCAAAAAGTTGTCTCTGTAGATTTGAAAACCTTGCATCTTTGATTTTTGTTATTTATTTTATGTATTATTTTTATGTCCTTAGTCTTTATATCAGGCATGACCCATAAGTATAGGATTATATCCAACAACAGTGTGACTATTAGCTCCTAATTCTATAGTTTCACTCCACTGAGGTCAATAATGATTTAGAGGGGAGAGTGCGAGGAAGAGGGCAGGTGTGCATAATAGCACTGTTAATTACATGTACTTTATACATCTAGACAGAAGAGCAACATCATTTCAAGGTCCAATAAATTACATATTTTTCCCAGTTTATTGTTCAGAATCATAAAAAGAATAATCCTTGATGTGGTATTGCCACAAGAAAATCTCCTGCCTCATCACCTTATTGTATCATTTCATATGGGGTTTTATATTCTACCTGGCTTTAATTGATGATGATACTATATTAAAATGCCTAGATAACTAAATACACAAGTTAATCATTTGACTTTCAATGAGGGTTAAACAGTTTCTAATAAGCAAATGGTACACTAAGTCTCATCTGTCATAGTTAGCACATTACACTTGAGATTGGCCTTGGTGCAGTTAAAAGAATGAAAAATCTTCTTAACATTAAAAAGAAAGTCTAAATGTTAGAAACTAAACTTTGAAAGTAACTTACAATACAGTATGTTAAATATCTTGTTGTGTCATGATACTTAAAAACAAAACCCCCCAAACCACGTTAAATGTAAACATTCTTCAGACCTATCTTCTATATCTCATTCCTTAAAAAATCTGTGAATATAATTGACTCTGATTCTCAATTGCTCCATTGTCATTACCCATTTTAATTCATATACTTCATTAATAAAATTATGTCTTTCTGTGGTTTATCTAGAAATAAAATACCAAATAAATTGCAAATAAAGGCTTTAAAAAGTATGTCTAGAACTTAAAGATCTGTACCACTCCAAAAATGAAGTAAATGCCCCTGTATCTTTTTTGGTACAAAGGTTATCATCACATTTTACACTGACATATAGGAAACATTATAGTATATTTATGCAAAATTTGTGCATATTTTACTACCCCAGAATAAGTTATTTTTGTGTACTCTATTCCAGGATGAGGAAGGAAAATATACTTTAATAGTTTCGGACAGTGTTACCTTCAAAGCTGGTAATTCTTTTATAAAGATAGTTTTCTTTCTTTTTAAAAGAAAAAAACTTTGGTTTAGAGTAAAAAATCTCATTAAAATAAAATATTTAGAACTATGTTTAGAAATATTTAGACCCTGCAAATTACTGTCAGACCTTTGAAAAACAACTGAATTTGAATCAACAGTCTAAATAGGTTATTAAACTTAGAAAAATTAAAATGAGCTGTGCAGGGTCAACTCTTTTTCTAAAGCATCTGTATTCTCAATATCCTATTGTCTTCAAAGTCAAACAGAATTAAGTGTCAAGAACAAACATAATACATTAATTTATTCCAAATCTTATAGTTATACTGCAGTTGAAATGACCATAAGTGTTTACATTATATATAAAAACTGTGTGTGTGTGTGTGTGTGTGTGTGTGTGTGTGTGTGCAGGAGAGTGCCTCAAAAAATTGGGAGTGGAAGGACAGAAGGAAAAGCAAAGAACTCTTACATTTCAGTAGGATAATTATATGTGGGATGAGGGGTCCTCTACTGGTGCTCTTTTCTTGCCTTTCATATGGGGCATGTTCACAGTTCATGGCAAATCAAAATCAGCTCAGACACACTCAATACAAAGCAAATACTTCAATTCTAATTGAGTCTGCTACCAGCTTCTCATTTCTAACTATCAGTATATGATCATGAACCTTATCTCTCCCATCCAGAACCTTTAAGGTCTTAATCATCCTAGAACTCTCTGGTAAACTTGGGGATCAAATCCCTACCCTGGAAAACCTTCCAGAGCATAGGCATAACTACAAAATCTTGAAGGTAATATCTTTAAAATATGAAAACAAATAAAACAAAACACAAATGAGAAAAATTGGCTGCCTGAGATCTGTTCCTCCACACCAGAACATCCATAAAATCCAAAAGACTCTGATAATGCTGGAAAAAAGGGGGTGTCAAGTGCTAGAGAATGGAGTCAGACATAGCAGGCAGGGCACCCAAGGTGTCTGACAGAGAGGGAATCAGCTTCAGGGCAGGTGGAGCAAGCAGTCAGTTTGGGTTTGTGACTCGCCAAAGCCACCAAGAAATGCACCCCATCCTTTCTGGGTTAAGAGTAACTCTGATGCTTAGAAAAAAATACTTTCATATTCTCCAGTCAGCAAAAATCTATCACCAACAGGCAAAGATCAAGCAGAGATACTAATGAAACAGGTTTTGCTCTCAGCCCATCTCCCTAAAGCCACTTCCCCCAAATGAGACCTTGATTCCCTCAAGACCTCTCTCTGTTTAAAGATGGAATGGAAGCACCTCTGCTCTGTCAAGGAAGCAAACTGAAGACCCGACATCGGGAAATTGTTAAGGAACATTCTAAGCTGCATTTTTCTTAAAAGGGTCAAACCCAAAACAATTAGGATGTATTCATTTCCAGATGCATGATAAAATTTTTATAACTGCCTGGTACAGAGGGAAACAATTCTTCTCCAGCCACTACCACCTTCTACAAAGACCAATGACAGAAACTGTCCCAGACAGGGACCGAGCAGGCTGACTCTCCTTCCACTACAACCTCTCCAAATCCGCTTTTCGCCTCGCTGTGTCAGTCCCTCTTTAGTCCTTCAGCACGCGCCCTGAAGCGGCAGCTTCTCCCTGTCTTTAGTTCTGAGTGGACTCGGTGCAGCAACTGCCTGCCTCCAGGGGGTCTCTCTGAGTGGCGTCCCCGCGCTTGGGAGGTTCTCAAAGCCCTGGGACAAGAGGCTTGTGACGGGTCTGGGAAGCCCGGGTTTCCGGCCTCCCAGGACTCCCGCCACCCACACCTCTAAGCTCAAGTGTGTTAAGTTGCTCGGCTTCCCAAGGCGCGCTCAGCCCGGGTCCCTCCCACTCCCGCCCCTTCAGCTCGGACGCCCAGGGGACCCTAGCCTCCGCAGAGGTGAGCGCGCACTCACCGGAGGTGAGCTGCATCCAGGCACAGATCTTGTACACGGTCGCCGTGTTGCAGAAAAAGAAGAGGGTAAAGCAAATGATGCAGGCGATGATGAGCATCATGGAGAGGCCGATGAAGAAGGAGGCGGCTTTGAAGGCGCCCGAGGGCAACGTGGAGAAGTCCGTGAAGCTGCCCCTGCAGGTCAGCTCCCGGGAGAAGCCGTTGCCGATGCAGTAGTGGAAGAGCCCGAAATAGCCGGCTTGCGGGGTGTCCACGCCGTCGCCAATCCAGTAGGGCTGGATGAAGCACACCACGTTGACGATGGCAAAGCAAACGGTGAAGATGGCCCACAGCACGCCGATGGCCCTCGAGTTCCGCACATAGTTGGTGTGGTACAGCTTCGCAGCCTCCTGGGCTGGCAGCATCGCGGCGGCGGCTCCGGGCATTCTCCCCCTCCTTTTCCTTCTCCTCCTCCTCCTCCCGGTTCTCCGCCTCCCCCGCCTCTCCTCGCTCAGGAGACACACTCACGGAGCCTCGCGCTGCAACTCCCCTGCCTCCACCTCAACCCAGCAGCGCCAGTTTCAGAGTCTGCATCCTCGCTCCGGAAGGAGGGCGGGGAAGCTCAGAGCACCCTTCTGGCTCTCCCGCACAGCCTCGCGGGCCCTCTCTGTCCCTCCCTCCTGGCCGGGGCTCCAGCCCTTCTCACTACCCCACCCCTCTTCCCGCCACTGCAGCTGCTGCAGCTGAAGGCGACAAATCCCGAGCGGGGCAGTGTGGCGCTGGAGCTCCGGCACCCCTCCACCTCGCTTCTTGCCTTCTGCCCCTCCCCCTTCGTGCCCGGTTGGCGCCCAAGGCTGCCCCAGGGTGTGGAGGGCCTCCGGGACCCTAGGATGCCCCGCAAGTGGCGGGCAGGCCTGAGCTGGTGAAGGGGAAATCTAAGGAGGGCGCGGGAACACCCACAGGGATCCTGGAGGTGATCCCGGGGATCCCGGTTTGTGTTAGGGGGCAGGAGCGCAAGGCAGAATCTGGGAGCAGTTCAGCTCCGCACAGCAACGTGCTTCGACCTCTGCATCTTTGCAGAGGCACGTGGGTCAGAGTGGCAGGTGCTGGCCAGAGATGCCAGGTAGAGCAGAAGAACTGCCCCCAAGACACTTTCTTGTTACAACCACAACCACAGAACTGCCCCTAGCTAACTTCTCGGTTACCTGAGGTCGACAAGGTGGGGACGGGAGAAGTTGGGCAGGAGCTGGCAGACAATAATGTAAAAGACAAAACTCAAGGGTGGTCTCATATCTGTTCAACTGAACTGGTTGCATGTTTGCGGTTTTCCTTTCTCTGCAGCCAGATGAACTATAGCAGATTCCCTATACATTCCTTTCAGTCAAGTCACTTTCCCCACAAATACTGCCAAAAACAGGACTTCTGGGGCATGTAAAGTGACTGGGTCAGTAAAACAGTTTGAAAACATTGGGTAGTTTGGCCGGTGTTACATTTCTTACACAAACATTCACTGTGCTGGGTGCTAAGGATTCAATAAGCAAGATAGGTGATATCTTGCTTTCCAGCAAGATGATGATTGACTTTACAGGTATTTCTCCCTGACCCACAACCCAAAGCTCCAGGAACCAGAGTGGTTTTCAGAGTAATTTCCCCTGAATTATCCATACATAATACCTTACACTTGCATGTGGCATTGTTGTTTTATACCTGTACTTTGTGCTGTTTCCTTACCTTAATGTTTTCTCTTTCCAGTCTTTCTATTGCTCTGTTAATAGTCCCTGCCTGAAAATTCCATTTCTTTATTTCCATTAGCTACTTTCTTGGTTCTCTCTGATTCTGCTAAAAATAAATAAATAAATAAATAAATAAATAAATGAATAAATAAATAAGAGACACCAGAGACAAAAACATGTAATTCCCACTCAAAACAATGGAACCAAAATGCTTCATAGTAATGGCAGATTTTTGGTAACAAACTCATTTTGAACCATGTGACCACTGAATTCTCTGAGCAGAAAGGAGAGAATTCTGTTAGAATTTGACCCCTAAGTCCATACATAAGCTATAGTTTATTATAATGCATAAAATATATGTAAACTCCTTAACAACATCTTGCCATGATGCCCAATCTGCCCACACTCTTACTAGAGCAGTGAGAGACATGAGATACCAGGTGAAATATGAAATTATCAGGAATGAATAAGAAAGCTTAGAATGGTTTTGTTTGGGGGTTGGGGGTGTATTCAGCTACATAAATGTCTATTATATGGACGAAGGGTCATACTCTAAGTGATAAGACCATCCAGGCCCCTCATCTAATAACCTGAAGATTTGAGATTGTATGGAGAGAGTAGAAAGAGGAATATTGGGCAGACACAATTATGAAGGTGCTGAAACTTGGAAAGAATTTAAAGAGTGAGTGTTGGAATCTTGCATTCAGCTTTTCCCATAGGTATGAAATGTAGGTATTATAGTTCAAGGTCCATTAGGCAGGACTTTGTAAAGAATTAAACAGTGGCATAAGGTATGTAAGTTCAGGCAACTAAAAATTTCTTGCAGGTTGGTTGTAGAGACTCAGAAGGTCTTTAAAAAAATGAAGGCATTTGGGGGAGGTGGGGAGGATGACCTAAATATGAGCTGTCCCAATATAACTCTCACAAGTCTTTAAAAATATAATTCGTGATGATGCATTATTAGTGCATTGGTGGAAGTGAAAGGTCAGAACTTCTTTAGGTTTCATTTGACTTAACTCCTCTGAAGTTGCTGGTAAATCAGAAAATCAGAAGAGTTTTAACATAGAAGGAGGAAGAGAAAAGGTGAGGATCTATGGGGCCATCTGGCAGGCCATGTGTCCCAGGCACAGAGATAGCTTTACAGCACAAATGACAGTAATTTCTAGGGGCTCTCAAATCTCCAAACCAACTTATATGAAGTGATATTTCTTTAAAATCAATGCTTTAAAGAGATCTTACTGTTCCCATGGGGTGGCCAAGATGGAAGTGTGCTAAGAGGGGAAAGGCTGAGAATCAAAAAGCCTACTTTAGACCTCAATGCTTAAATTGCCTTTATAGGACAAAGAAAAGACTGGCAGTGACTCAGATTCAAGTGTTGTGATTCAAAGAGCTTTTCTATTTGAGTCATGACCAAGGAAACCCTTATTTTTAATCTAGGGTTGAAATTGCCTCTGGGTTGTGCTCAGAATCACTATGCCAAGGGGCATACTCAAAGTATCCCCTCTTTTCAAGAGCAACTGTCTAAAGTGATCCCATGGATTTCCCCTTGAGGTGAGGAATCAGTCAGGGATAAACTGAACCCTGACAATGGCCCTTCTTCCTACCTTTATCTTGCCCTGCACCACAACAGATTTCCAGAATGTAGCAGGGTTCCCCAAAACTTGGAATTAGGGATGAGCTAGAACACCTGTAAACTTTTCAGTTGTCATCAACGAAAGCAGATGTCCTACATCTTTCCAAATCCTGCCGCTGCCCATTTCTAACTTTGTCCTCAGCAACCAGAAACCCCAGGGGTAAAACTGTCCCTACCCTTAATCTAAAGCTTAGTCTGGTGCCAGGAGTTCAGACAGCTAAGCATGTGGACAACTAATTACATTAATCAAATAGGATGTGACCAGGAAAGCTGATTTGGGGAGGAGGAAATAATAAAACTAGCCTGATTCACACTAAGAAGTTACTATTGATAGAAAACTATTTTGAAACAATAACATGATTCATATGTGCTAAATAACTGGTAGAATTTTCTGTCATTGACAGCATTGAATTACAATGAATACTCAAATCTCAAACTTCACCGTTAAAAATGTTTTTCTCTTACTGACACAAAGAGTCAGTATTGAGACCCATTCTTTTCCCTCACTGTGTCTGAATAAATATCACGACCATAAAAGAGAACAACAGAAAGTTGGACTGCGAGACACTACTAATAAATTCTGAATGAGTTAAAGGATTAAATGTTTTAATCCCAAACTAATCTGTGATGGCTTGGGAGAGTGTGAAAGCCAGGGAGGGCAAGAAACAGGATCTAGACCCAGCACCATCTCTGCCTAACTGTGAGAGTCTAAGAATCTTAGAGCATGATTTTCTCATCTCAAGAATTATGGTGAGGGACTAAGGTCCCTTTCTTCAGTAAAATTCTATTCTCTTCTACAAAGATTATTCTAGAGTGACTTTGCAAAAAAAAATGACAAAACCCAGTACTTGAAAAAAAATGATGCAAGACCTAACAAAAGATATTAGACTCTGGTGATACAGACATTTTATTTAAAATTGAAAATCCCTACTAAAATCAAATTGTTATAGTATTTTAGGCAATGGGTACTTAGTGGTCCCAGGTGAGTCATTGCTATGACCTTGGGAAATGGAGAGAGATGACTTCTAAAATCTGTTACTTAATTGATTTCTGGGGCTGTCACCAAGGTCAGTATCAGATCCCACTTCAGAATATAAAAATTCTAATAATGAAGCTTTTTTACTTGCCAAGGGTTTTCTTCCATCTTTCCCCCACCTTAGTTTTCTTTTAGGGCTCTTCAGAAACACCTCTTAGTTAATCAGTTACTAGATTAGCAGGGGCAATCAGACAGATCTAGCATTTCAAGGCCCCCTGCAAATCAAGATCAAATAGATCACAGGGCTCTGATTTCTTTGCACCTTAGTCTGTACCCATTTGCAAAGACATGAGAGCTCCACACGTGAAAAGAAAAGGGAAATAGGAATATCAGTCATTCCCCCTTCTTTCCCCCTTTTCTCTGTTTTGAATTGGATTCTGTGTAAATCACTGCTTTTATAGTCCTTTTCCCTTTTCCAGAACCTAGCTAAAAGCATAAGATGTTTTCTCATAAAGCTGATCACCTCCAAAGCATATGCTAGAAGACCATCTCTCTGTTAACCTTGTAAGTCCTTGATGATTTTAAAACAATTCTCTTTGAAAGTAAATAGTGACCTCTATTGAATAAATTACTATGGTAACATGATCATCACTTGAGTCTATATGGGGTGATATTATATTAAAGTTATAAATTTGGTATGTAGATTCTGTTTTCATTAAATGTAGTACTTGATGACCTTTCTGATCTTAAAACAATTCTATTTGCTATTCATCTGAACCTGCTTCATGAAGTTTCCCATTCAAGGTGCACCTTTACTAAAAGTTAAAGCCTTCATTTGGAGCATCTACCCTATTACCTTCATTTGGGGCTCTTATTTGAAACCACTGCCTGGACTGTCTGCTAAAGGCATCTTTATCCACAAAGCTTATCTTTCCTACAATCACTTGAGTGTGCCATACTTCAGCTTCAGCTTTTCTGATAATCTCCTCAAGCCACAGAACATGTATTTTAAGTCTTATAACCCCAAACACCCCTCTACACGTGAAGGAAACCCTTCCAAATGCTTTCCTTTACTGGTATAGTCACACAAAAAATATTAATCTTGATAGTTCAGTGCTTTTGTTGA